TATTCAAACTTACAGTTTCCCTGCTATTAAGTGGTGTATCTGCTACGGCTAAAATTCGAAGTGCGGTTACACCTAGTTCTAGAGCAATGCCCGGATGGATATAGGTTATATGATTGTGCTAAAAATGAATTTTAAAAAAATACGAAAAATTGTCTATGATCTATTATTTAAAAAAAAAAACTTAAATACTTACAGTATTGCTAAAATGTTTGTTGTTTTTGTAGTGGTATTGCTCTCCATCTGTTCGTAAAGTTTCATCACCATCGATTCAGCCATTTCGAAGATTAGCCCGGACGGACAGACAGAGACATATTTTAAAATTGAAGCCAAAATTGGAAAACAAACATTTCAATGTTGTTTATATGTATAGATTTAGATTAGCGATTGGCACGAAAGTTTATTCATAGCTTCCTGTTGGAAGGAGTCAAGGCTAAAAGAAAAAAGTATTCAAACGTCTTTTAATCGAGGTTAGGTGTTCTAGGTCTGTTATGTTCCGGACTGAAGGATATTGAAACAGTATAATTACAGGTTGCTAATAAGGCCTGGGAATGGGATGATCGCTACCATGCTGTTATATAACATTTTTATAGAATATTTTTATAGCTGTTATATAGAATGTTTTCATACCTGCTTAAGTAATTGTATAAAATATTATATTGTAATTTTTTTTAAAGTCCCGCTGGGTTTCTTGCTGGCTCTTCCAAAGACAGTGGGGTTTCCGAACTAGTGGGAAAGCTTAATTGACTTTAAAAAATTCTTGTAATTTATATCGAATGAAAATTATTCTATTCTATTTTATAACTGTATTGTGGCGGAGTGAGGATAATCACCACCACATATCGTCCCGTGGGTGTCACGAAGAGTGACAGAGGGAAAATCAAACAGGAGATCGGCAGCAGCATCTTTCTGATGACAACTCATAATTTATTTACAGGCGTGAGTGGATAAAAATACTTGATCTGTGCTGGATTTGAACCGCATCGCACAGCGCCGCAACTCTATACTATGGCACTGCGCCATGGAGCCTTCTATGTTCTCATGAATTACTCCTTAAGTGTTATTTAAATTAAACATAAAATATTAAGTAAAAATAGTTTGCGGACGTGTCAAGTCCCCACGTATTGGGGCAACGAGACCGACTCTTTTTTTGCTTCGAAAAATACTCTCAGAAATGTCATTTAAGAAATTAAAGTCGTCCAATTTTCATGTACTATTAATAATTCTACCAAACGTACTTATATTGGTGTATATAAGCCATAGTTTATAATGTAGCGTAAGAGTAAACAATCCATGACCGGTTTAACGTGCAGAAAACGCTATTTCGGTTAGGAAGGCGAACTGGACCAATCCTAACCGAAACCAAACATTTGCGTAGTTCCAAACAGCTGTAAAATGTATCGAGGTCATATTTTATTACTCATGTCGAAATATTCGCGAATACTTACTGCTAAAAACTCTGCATCTTTCTGATTTGTTATCAAAAATAGTAATATAGAAGCTGTGGTTGTTAACCTGCTTGACAAGCGTGGCAGCTATGGCAAATGCGCCCCTATGAGGCAATCTACGAAGGAGGCCTATCTTTAGCAGAGGACTTTTGATAGGCTGTAATCACGTACGTCAAAAATATTTTTTTACGTGCGTGGCTGTAATACAGTGTAGTGGCGATGTAAAAATATCCACTACCCCATATCACCGTACCATACCGTGGTCCTAATACATAACCAGGGTACAAAACCTATCCCACAACAGAGAGGTTTAAGACAGGGTGACGATATATCCCCGAAACTCTTCACCGCTGCATTGGAAGAAGTTTTCAAGCTACTGAACTGGAAAGGATACGGCATTAACGTCAATGGTGACTACATTGTTCGATTTGGCGACGATATACGTATAACCTTTATGGCAGAATCGCTGGAGGATCTAAACACTATACTCAATGACCTCAACAGTGCCAACAGTTGGTAAGTTCTACTTCGACCGAGAAAGATTCAACTCGGCTCACCAAGTATATACTAAAAACTTAAAAAATAAAAACGAGATTGTACAACCAGTGCGTATTGCTAGTGATGATTTATGGATCTAGGACGTGGTACTTCACTCCTGGCCGTATGAGGAAGCTCAAGGTCGCTCAGCGAGCTATGGAGGGGACTATGCTCGGTGTTTCTTTGCGTGATTAACTTAGGGAGAGGATATCTGCAGTAGAACCAGCGTGACCGACATAGCCCAACTTATAGTAAGCTGAAGTGACAATGGGCCGTCCATATAGCTCGAAGAACCGAAATCCTATGGGAAAAAAAATTCTCGAGTGGCAGCCTCGTAACCGTAGGTGAAGTATAGGGCTACCTTCCACCAGATGGAATGACGAACTGGTAAGACATGCAGGAAGTCGATGGATGCAGGTGGCTCAGGATCGTGCTTTGTGGCATTCCTTAGGGGAAGCCTATGTTCAGCGCTGGCCTTGTGAAGTGCTGTTTCTATGATGATAATGAGAATTAACAATTTGATCGGTCTTTAGACTATCAATTAGTGAAGATATTACATACAAAGAAATTGTACTAACAGTTTGACAAACGTCCACTTTCGTCGTATTCAAACATTTGCCTTGTCCCGCATATTACTTTCGTTAGTCTGCGGTTGAATGACATCCTGCAAATAGAACTGCTTGGATACTTATTGTTCTGTGAGATATGACTTGTGTATTTGACTTGCTACAAAAGTTTCAACAAGTTTTACTGTTATCGAGCAGTAAATTATAGAATATTGCACTATTGACTGTTAAAAACCATGATACTTTTTACAAATCCCCAAATTCATTTTTTAATATATCGAAATATTGGATCGCGGTGCGGTTAGAGATACTATACTTCAGTATTCATCCTGTCGTGTGAGAAAATTTGGGATTTGAAATGAATTTTTCGATTTTTCAATAAAATATAGTAGGTTTTTGCATGAGAGGGGTTGAATCTGTTAAATGAATTAGTTCATTTTTCACGGTTGGTAGTTACGTTTGTAACAAAATGTCTGGATTTTTCTGTGGAAATCAGGTTATTTGTCAGGATTTTTCAACTTTCATCCCTAGTTGCGGTGATGTTGATAGCTAAATGATGAAACCCAAATTCTACCGTGTAGAATATTCTTAACCCCATATTGTCCCGGGGATGTATCAAATTCAAATTACTGTAGTCATGCCTTGTCTATTGCTACATATTGATAGCCAACCATCAGGTTGTTGCTGCTTGTTCATCATCGATATTTTTTTTTATAGAATGATGGTAAGTGGACACTGTAGCCCATGTATATCTACATCTATCCTCGATTAGTTGTCACCCCTGAGGGCTAAGATGTAATGCCTCGTATCGAGTAAAAAGGGTCTCCGGTTCTCTACACTGACCATACGAAACACAGCAGCATTGAGCTACTATTTTATGTTGGTATTCTGTGAGAGCGTCGTCCTTCCTGGGTCGAGTCGACCCATTCGTGCTACAACTATAATATAGATGCAGCATGGTTCCACCACATAACACAACATTCGCAATACATTAGTAAAGTGCCGACGTCGTAAAACTTAAATGAAAACCCCTATTTACATTACTGCTATCGCCTACGTCAAATCGTAAACTAACGCAAATAGAGTATGGAGCTCAGTAACGAGCCCTATATACGTAACTGTACATCATTTACACGTGTATAGACAAGTTCAGTAGATACGAATAGTACACAGTTGTACTTTGATCAAGGTGTGGTTTAGGGATGAAGTTCTACTATCGATAAACATATCGATAATACCGTATTATCAATGCTAGGAAAATATTAATGTTCTAAAATATGAAATGAATGAAAATGAAAATGATGTTTATTTTTTCGCCACAAATGCATATATAAACATAACAGAAATATAGAATTTTGTGATGTTTTTGCGGAGTACTGGAGATCTAATTAGGGTATTCCTGTATTTCAGGACTCCAGGTTGCTCGCTCGCTAACCTTTTAAAGAAATCTCTCACAGGAGGTCCTTCCTCTGTCGAACCGGCCCATTAGTCTGGCAACCGTAATATATTAACAGTGTGACTATACCCTGTCAAAAAGAGACGATATTAACATCAATGGCATGCACATCGCTTACTTTCGATTTCGATATATCGATATAATAGCGATGATTATGCTCCGCCTATTATATCGATATGTCGACATATCGTCACAAGCCTACTAAGTTCACTGAGACCGCCCGCCCTTGCAAATAACTCCAGTTCAAACTATGACGCACTTTGGTAGACGCTGTAGTAAAAAAAAAACTATAATGAAATTGCTTTACGTACTGACTTTATTATCTTTCAGTTCATCCAATTATTTTGTAACATAACAGGAAATAGATGAATTAACCTCGATAGAGCAGGTGTCCTCTGACAGTTAGTAGTAAATTATTATTGTTGTTTCATCAAATAGTTTGTTAGCTTGGATTAGTTTTTCCGAACTTTGGCCTCACTGAACGACCTAAAGCTAACTGTGAAGAACCAGTATGCTAAAGCTGTAGACTGCCCTAATAGCTCAAAGAACAATCAATCGATGGGAGGAAAGATTTTTGAGTGAAAGTGAAATGGAGAGAAAATTTGGAAATTAAGTATTAGAGCTACGTTGAAGTTATACATAGTTGCATTACAAATGGGAGTGACAAATGGGTTAGGACCACACTCTAACAGAACACCAGCATAATAAAATAGCAGAACAACGCTGCTGTGCTTCGGATGGTGAGTATAAAGGACCAGAGGTCCTTTTAACTTGTAACGAGGGATTCCATCTTATTTTTCAGCCGTGACAACGTATCTGCATTTTAATTCTTTATCGATGATATATGTAGATGTCTATGAGATACTGATTCCACGCACCAGTAGGTGGACTATGTGCTCGTTTGACAAGCCTACTGTAAACAATTAGCAACACTATAATAGTAATTTATCAGTGTTTTTTTTTAAATTTTGGCTACATGTGTTAACTTTGTTCCAGGTGTAATTGGCTTGATATATTTAGTCATGTACATCTGCATCATCATTTTCTTCTCCATCTGCATGTGCGGACTGCTCGCCACCATGGACGAGAGGATTCCCTACTTCACTCTCGCTGATTCTATCATTGGTAAGTATTGTGAAAGAAATTGTTTTTGTATAAGCATCACAAACGAATTATCATTTAACCTGATGGCAATGCAGTTCATTGTCACCTCAAATTGAAGCTTCAAATAAAATACACTCTTTTTATTATATAGAGGCATTTCCTTTTAGTCATCGGAATGACAATGCAATGTGTGTTGTTGAGGAAAGTGTAGGTCTATGAGCAAGCCAGAGCATCCTCTTACTGTCAGGTGTACTCGTCACTATTACTTCTATAAAAAGACGTGGTCGTGTAGCTTAGTAGTAGCTTTAATCCCTTTAAACTAGAACAAAGCAATACAAGAGTGTTTGCTACCTTTATACCTTTTATTACTGAAAACTGTACTTCATTATTTTTATTTTTCTAGCACTTTTGTATAGTTTTTTTATAGAACAAGGGTGACTAACGAGCTCACAGTCCATCTGATGATAAATGGAAGCTGTGACCCATAGACATCTACATTTTTCCTCGATTAAGAATCTAAATGCAGATGCGTCGTTACCCCCGAGGACTAAGATACAATGCCTCGTTTCCAGTAAAAAAGGGTCTTCGGTTCTCTACACTCACCATACGAAATACAACAACCTTTAGCTGCTATTTTACGCTGGTATTCTGTGACACCCCGGTTGAGCCGACCCATTCCTGCTACAACAAGCACATTAAACAGGTATTTATAAATCAAGTATTAAAGTCACTTCTTTGGCAATCGCAGTGCCATATTTATCGCATTTTTGAAGCTGCTATCGTCGACGATGTATATATTTTGCATCTGATGTACATGTGAAAGTAACTTGATATTTGTTTTAAAGTACCTTAATCAATACAAGACTTGGCATGCGAATTATCGATCGTAGTTGCAGACGTATCGCATCTATGACGCCGCTGTCAGTCGCCTGTCTGAGTTATACCGCTATCTTTCGCAGTGCTATAACTCAGACAGGCGACCATCGAGGTCATTTTGAACCCTCCCATAGTCGTCTCTTACGATGTCCACGAGAAGAAATGGGGGTGACGGATTTTCTTATAATCTGTTCAATAATTTTTTTATAACGCGTAATTTAGAACGCGTAAACCATTTCCCAGTTTACGCGTTCACGAAAAAACATGTCTACTGTAATCGTGTCCGTACCATCTTCCCATTAGAAAAAATATTGTGTGGTGGGTATGGGTAGTAAGCATCTCTCTCATCGCATCTCTCATCAACCGTCCACTCGATGGTAAGTGATTGCTGTGGTCCATAGACATCTACATCTATCTTAGATGCCTCTTTTTATGTAAAAAGGGTCTTCGGTTTTCTAAGCTGCTATTTTATGCTGTTAAGCGTGGTTCCCGATCGAGCCGAACCATTCATATTACAACTGTAGTACGTGAGGGTAATATGGTAATCCGGTTAATATGGCCACTTTCTTATTACTTAAAAACTACAGCTTTGTTTGTATAGACTTTGCGATAAGATAGCTATTCATCGGTCAATCAAATAATAAAGGGTTAAAAGAGCGCTGCTTTATCGAAGCCATTTTGACAGTTGACATTATAATAAATATTTTAGCCGATTTTAGTATGGTGGAGTGTTTTTTTTTTTTTTTAATTTATTTTATGTACACACATTAAGGTACAGAAGCAGTCTTATAGTAATTACGTACAAAGGTTCTACTTATTCCAAATTCGCTGAAATATCTTCCAGTAGACCCATAAAGGAAATTATATTTAAATTGCAAACTTAGTGCATACATTAGTACTACATAAAATAAATAATATACACAATGTTACGGAAATTATATAAAATAAAACAATAAATAAAAATAAAATAAATCAATAAATAATAATAATAATTGATACGATAGTTACATATGATATATATATATATATATATATATATATATATATAAATTAACAGGATGCAAAGTAGTTATCTCTAAGACGTTTCTTGAATATCAACAAAGTTTCGGAATTTCTTATATTTGACGGTAGTGAGTTCCATAATCTTACAGCGTGAACTGAAAAGGAGTGGGAGTAATAACCGGAATTAAAGACGGGAAAGTCAAGAAGATTTTTAACAAGGGCTCTGCATGGTTTGTCCGGAGGATGGGTGAAGGAAAATCGGCTTCTGAGGTATGTGGGAGAGGAAGGGTTGTGCAAAATGTTATAGAGGACACATAACAATCGAGTGTTCCTTCGAAGTCGAATAGGAAGCCACTTGAGTTGCTTACGAAACTGAGATATACGGTCAAATTTCTTGAGCCCAAATATGAAACGGATACACTGATTTTGCAAGCGCTCAAATTTATTAAGAAGCTCCTCTGTAGCATCCAAATAACAGGCATCCGCATAATCAAGGAGAGGTAGGATAAGAGTAAGCACGAGTGATATTTTAGCTTTAAGGGGTAAGAAATTTTGTAGACATTTAAGCGAATGCAAAGTAAAGTAGACCTTGCGACTAACTTCAGCGATATGCGTGGTCCATGTTAAATGGTGATCAAATATGACGCCTAAGTTTTTGACAGTATTGGCAAAGGGTATAGGAACGCCATTAAAACAAACAAAAGGTAGTGATGTAAATTCTAATCTATTACGCAAATGCCTACTGCCTATTATGATGGCCTGAGATTTCATGGGATTAACTAATAGTCCGAAGGATGCAGACCATTCACAGATGCGGCCTAGATCCGCATTCATAGCTGCAATTGCATTATTTGTATCACCCACCAGAAAATGACGATAAAGCTGTAAGTCATCCGCGTAGAGATGGTAATTAGATGTAATAACACTCGTAATAGAGTTAATAAATATGGAAAATAAAAGGGGGGAAAGAACGCCACCCTGAGGTACACCCGTAGTGATACCCGACCAATCGGATAGAGTGTCATTAACACGGACACAATGTGATCGACCACGAAGATATGAATCAAACCATGCGATGGCAGATGGGGAAATGTTTATAGATTCCAGGATCCGGAGAAGAATATCAAAGTCTACTGAGGTAAAAGCACTACTAAAGTCAAGCAAAACTAAAAGTGTAAGAGATTTATTGTCCATGGCCCAACGGATATCGTCGGTTACTTTAAGTAAAGCAGTGACAGTGCTGTGTCCACGACGAAAGCCCGACTGATAAGTGGAGAGCAAGGAGTTAGACGATAAGAAGAGAGAGAGTTGACTATGGATGATGTGTTCCAAAACTTTAGAAAGAAAGGGTAAAATAGATATGGGACGAAAGTGGGACAAAGAAGAAGGATTAGAAACCTTAGGCAGAGGAATTATATATGCTTGTTTCCAAACTGAAGGAAAAGATGATGACGATATAGAAAAATTAAATATATGAGTAAGAATTGGTAGAAGTAAAGGTAGAACTAGCAAAATCATCTTCGCACATAGACCATCAATACCAACAGCATTTGAAGAGATGGCTAGGATGGATTTTTTGACATCTTCCTCCGTTACAAGGGAAAGATGAAAAGGGCAAACGTGCGGTTTCGGTATACCCGCCAATGCGAGTAGTGTGTTGTATTTGATGTAAGGATCTAAAGTCATAGGAGGAGTAGCAAAGTGATTGTTTAGATCCTTTACTTTAACGTCATTGTATTCTAGGATCGGAGACCTGCCCACACCAACAGAACGAAGGAACTTCCACATCTCAGTAGAATTTTTGTTGTGTAGAGAGTTGTAAAAGTAGCGTCTTTTAGCATACCGACACAAGCGACTGCAGCGGTTGCGTAAAAATTTAAAACGATTTAAGTTATTTTCAGATGGGAGACGTTTAAACCTTTGCTTAGCTTTGTCCCTCTGGCCCATAAGTTCTCTTATATCTTGTGTAATCCAAGGTGCAGGATTACGCTTTATTTTTACGCGTTTGAGCGGGGCATGGTTATTGTATACCTTCAAAATTATATCATTAAAATTACAAACCTTCTCATTAATATTAGTATTGTCAACAATAGGTGTCCAATCAACATTACTTATATCATGCTGCAATGACTCCAGATCTATTGCCTTGTAATTACGAAGGAACAAAGATTGGGATTTCTTTTTAGGTGGACAGAGACGATATGAGAGGTAGATTAAATCATGATATGAAAAAGAGGCAGTTATTTGTCCATGAGACATGACACTATCAGTAGAAGAAACGATCATAATATCAAGCAAAGAAGGGTTACAGTTAGGGAAGTGGTGAGTTGCCTGAAGGGGGAGAGTGAGAAGATTGAAGGAAGATACCAAATTCAGAAGTTTTTGGGAGCGAGAATCATTTTTGATAAGACAGGTGTTGAAATCTCCCATTAGAATAATATGATCGTAAGTAGTACTAAAATCAGCAAGGATTTTTTCAAGCGTATCAAAGTAATCTATGTGCATGTTAGGACTGTAAAATACCGCCAGCAACATTTTTACATGATTGAGAGTAACTTCTATGAAGAGATATTCAGCAGATTGAGAGTAAATAGAAGGAGAGGCACATATGGTCTTATAAAATATATCCGAACGCAGGTATATAGCTACCCCACCACAACCTTTTCCTATACGATCATTACGAATAAGGACAAAACCAGGTAAGGCAAACTGTGTAGAGGGGAGTGATGGCTTGAGAAATGACTCAGAAATTAGTAAAGCATCGAGATGTGCACTGTTAATTGATGCTAGAAGATCAGGATAATGGCGAGGAACACTCTGGATGTTAATGTGTGCAACATTAAAGTTGTTAGGAAATTTAGAGCGCAGGGATGAAATCTGGTCATACAAAGTTAAAGGTAACTCACTATCCGCACTTGTAAAACTACATGAAGATGAAGAGCATGAGAAGAAACTGTCATCAAAAACATCAAGATTATCCATTTAGCAAATAAATTAAGATAATATAATAATGTATAGTAATATAACAATAATATAATATAAAATGTAAATATAATAATACAGTTTAAAAAATATGTATAAATATGATATGTAAATACAATATATATGTATATATTTATAAATATCAATTTAGCAATTATTTAGTTTAAAATAAAACAAAACTTAGGTATAATCTAATACAAACGGAACAGAAAAAAAATTAAAAAAACATCTAAAATCACCAATCACAGAACTGTCATGAAATACTGAAGAAAAAAAAATCTTATGAGAGTATAATTTATACATAAGATTCGATTAAAATAAAAGAAGTTTAAAATGTTATGATATGAACCTATCTTATAATTATATACATATTAAACTTCCTAAGAGATTAATAAAAATATTGAATAACACTATTACATATTACTGCAAAGCAGAATAAATAATACATTTTCCCAAGCTACAACTTGACAGTATCACAGTGGCCAAAGGGCCGTGCGTCACAACTAAAAGAAAAAGTAAATAAATAAAAAAATGCATAATAGTCATCTCAAAACTCACAAGTGTCAATTCCACAGAACACTAGCTTGCTACGTATTTATTTATCTATGCAGAACACTATTACTCCTTTCGGAGGTCAATTCAATGTGAATCACAGACTAGTATGATGCTTACGCAAATGTGAATGATAAAATAGACATTTTGATAATTACTGTGTATAATTAAATGCTTATCTTATTATAAAAGTACCAGCTGGAAAAATGTATCATTATTACAGAAATATAAAGTAATTATAAAACAGTATTACAAAGTGGTTGTAAAGCAGCTAACAAAAACAAACAAAAAAAAAAATGATTATTCTATGTACCTATGTTTTCTGAAAGAAAACAACGAAACTAGGGATTAGTTGCGGCGACGAGCCTTCCGTGGAGCATTAGTAGTCAATCTGGACGCAACTTCCTTTGGAGAAGTGGGTTCCTTAGACTGACCAGGGTCTTTGACCGTACTACACTTGTCGGGATATCTGCAAATAAGGGGTTTTAGTTCTGCCGTAGACTCAATCCTCTGACGTGATTTGTCCGGCAAAATAATAACTATTTTTCCTTCTACGGACCAGCAGTTCTTAATCCCGAAATGTTTACGAGCTGTCATAAATACTTTGTGCCTTGTCTTAGTCAAAAACTCGGAAATCGTGATACCTGAACCTTTTAGTGAAGTTTTGTTATCCCAGACAAGACGACGACTCTCCGGACTACCAAATTTAACAAGCACTGGACGTGTTGAGGCTTGAGAAGATCCAAGACGATGGCATACTTGTATATCCTCGACTTTCAAATCGGTCACCTTCATTTGGTCGGAAAACAGCTTATATACCGATTCATGCAACTTCTCATTCTGTCTTTCAGAAAAACCGTGGATAAGCAGTATTTTTCTTCTCATTGCTGTTTCATGTTTGTCAATATTGTATGTAACTAAGTCCAATTGTTTTCTGATCAGCGATAGCGATTGACAAACAAAGGATTTGAAATCGTTGAAGTCCTTGGACAGTGAAGAAATGTCTGGGTGAACTGGCGAGGAAACAGCTGAGGCTTTTAAAAGCTTATCTTCATACTCACGCATGCGAGAAGCAAATAATTTTTCCAGTTCATCAAGATTATTTACAAGCTGTGGGTCCATATTTGACGGTTATGCAAAACTGTGCTTTAGCAATAAAAAGATAGAAGTTGTTAAGAACAGCACGTGTTGGTAGACTTTAGCAGTGTTTTAACACATTTATTTAGAAAGAACAAATACTTTAAATAATTTAACAACAATAAATATAATTAGCACACTGAGTTTGCGTGTTTACTTTGCGACTACCCGCAAAAAAAAAAGTGTTATTATTTTTTTTAATTTAATTTTGAAGTGTTCATAATTATTGCGAAAGCTTGTTTGCAATTTTTTTATTAGTATATTTGTTATAGTATACGACTTTGTGTTTTTGTCTCTGTCCTCCTCCTAGTTTTGGTTTTACAGCACGGAAAAGCTCAAGGTGACTATATTACCGTCACGTAACTTATAATATAGTTGAAGAATAGCTCTACGTAAAAATAGTGATATATCTTCTTATATATGCATGCCTGGTGGTACACAGGTCATCTAAGAGAGGTTGGATTCATTAGCCAGCTAGGCTGATACAACATTTTACACGTGGTTGAAACAGGCTGCAGTTATATTAGTAGTAGTGTTGCAGCACGAATGAGTCGGCTCGACCGGGGAAGGACCACGCTCCCACAGAATACCAGCGTCAAATAGCAGATTAATGCTGCTGTGTTTCGTATGGTGATTGTAGAGAACCGGAGACCCTTTTAACTGGAAACGAGGCATTCCTTCTTAATCTTCACGGGTGACAACGTATCTGCATTTTGATTTGTAATCGAGGATAGATGTAGATGTCTATGGGCCGCAGCAACCACTACCATCAGGTGGACTGTGTGCTCGTTTGTCACCATATCCTATAAAAAAAATACAATTCGTGTTTGGCAAATTACAAAAGGATAGGAAATATTTTTATTATTCAGGCATGTAGATTTGCTAACAATGTTTTCCTTCAATCGAGTACGTAGTAAACCGGCAATTGTAATAATTTAATTGATACTGGCGGAGATTAAACCTGGTTTTCTTGTGTACTGTGTAATTACTGCAAAGACTTAACTTCTGTTTAACTACCGCGGATTTCTTTAACCAGTAATGAAATGAAAAGTTAAAAGTAACAAATTTTTCATGACTGACCACTGACAAATTAAAAAAAAATGGTCTTCATCGTTTGAATTATTAATTAATTCCATGAAATTGGAGGCCATCATAATAGGCAGCAGGCAATTACAAAAAAATTGAATTTACATCGTAATAAATTGTTTATACGGTGTTCCTAAAGCCGATACTGTCTAGAAGTTAGGCGTCGTATTTGATCACCATTTATCATAGTCCAAGTCAGAGTTAAGTTCAAAGTTGCTGAACTTAACTCTGTCGTCTATAATTCCGCATTTTACTCCCATTCATTTTCTGTCCAAGAGGTTAGGCTATGGAACTCACTACCGCCCAATAAAATAGGCTTCGAAATTTTATTGGCCTTTAAGAAACGTATTAGAGATAATTTATTTGCATCTCATCATCATCATCATTAATTGCATGCAGATAATTACTTTATATATATATTATATGTAGACAGTTATCGTATATGTTATTATTATTAAATATGATTTACATAACATTACCTATATTATTTATTCATTAGTCTAGCACTAAATTTGCATTTTGAATAATATATTTTCCTTTATGGGAGTGGATGATATTTCAGAAAATTATGAAATAAGTAAAACCTTTGTACGAACTCAGAAATATGACTGATTCTGTATATTGTTGTGTGTATATAAATAAATAAAAAATAGATTCTGGAACCATCCATGACCATCACAGAGATTAAAGGCGGATTTTTTCAAAAGTAGTCACACTCGGCTTGCGGTTTAATAATCACAGTTCTTATTATTATTTCGAGTAGTTATCAAGAAAAATCTCTTACGACACCCACGCGATGATATGCGGTAGTAGATATACGCCGCCACTACATGGCAGGTTTTATTCCATTAACTGGTCACGCATTTGTTAAATTCCTTAATATAAATTCAAAATTATAGAAAACTGTTAAAATGAAAATTTTCTAACATTTTCAGGAGACAATCCAGGCATGGGCCACAGACCACTTATCTTCGAGGAGGGCGCATTGATCTGGTACCACGCGGACAACGACACACAGGTCCAGAAGTACGTTGCTAACATCGACCAGTTTCTGGCACGTAAGTGTACCGACATTTCTAATGTTATTGCTTTGATCTTTATGGCTCTGCCAGAAATAATGGTATGAGGCATGAATTTACAGGAATTTGCACCATGTGCTGTATGTATTTGATTTATTTTTTGATCGAGTCCAAGGTGGATTTATAAAGATATATTGGAAACATTTTAAATTTTTTATTTAAATGTTTTGTAGGTCTTTATATAATGTTTTTATATGTATATTTATCTTTTATTACTTATTGCAAAGCACTCATCAAAAGATAAAAATTAAATAGCATAAACACATTAAATAGAATAAACACTCTTAAATAATAGAAGAAAATTATTAATCAAATAATTCAAACCTACGTATAAGTGTACAAAAAATGTAAGCGAATAAAGAAACAAAAGTTTATAAATTTTGCCATAATCTATCACGATTTTGGGATATGTGTCCAATCTTTCACTATACGAGAGTAACCAGAGTTGAATCGTTGTTAGCATCAATGAAATTGTTAATTGTGATTATTATGCTGATTTACCAGTTGGCGGCGAAGAAAAGTAAAGCAAACATCCACAACTAAGTAATTTAAGAATATTTAAAGGGCAAGGACTGCGGCAGACTGAGGAGGAAGGAGGAGGAGGAAGGAGGCTTCCTCGCAAACCCTCTTAGAAATAACAGTAGGCCTATGCCCAGCAAGTGGACGTATATAGGCTATGTGTAATGGGTGACAAAGGAGTACACAGTCCACCTGATGGAAGTGAATACTGTCTACATTTTATCCTCTATTAATAATCGAAATGCAGATTGGTCTCTCTTGGTACTCCTGAGGACTCAGATGGAGTGCCTCGTCACCAGTAAAATAGGTCTCCGGCTCTCTGCACCGAACATACGAACCACAGCAGCATTAAGCATTGAACGCTGGTACTCTGTGAGAGCGTGGTCCTACCCCGTTCGGTCGACCCATTCATGCTACAACCATAGTATAGCTGCAGCAGACTATAGGAAATGTCAAAAAAATCTCATCGTTTCCGATATATATAAATTTACCTTACATTATAGCGCTCGTTGTAAATTTCACAGTATGCGAGCAACCCGTATTCAATCCCCGCCGACACCAATGAAATTGTTAATTGTAATTTTAAGTGCTGATTTACCCCCTGCTCGGCGGTGAAGGAAAACATCGTGAGGAAACCTGCATGTCTGAGGAATAAGAAAAAATATTTCGAAGACATGTGAAGTTCGCAACACGCATTGGTGTAGCGCGGCAGACCCTTCCTTGACCTTTAAAACTCTCTCAGAAATGACAGGAAGCCTGTGCTCAGGCGTAGGACACAGGCCTCCTGTCATTTCTGAGGTCTATAGGCTGTAACTTTACTTACTTTTATTATAGTTCCTACGACTGGCGGTGTAAAAGTATCCACTACCCCCATATTATCCCGTGGGTGTTGTAAGATGCGATAGAGATAAACATACCAGGAGATGGGATGCAGAATTTATTTACCTATTTAAGACTTTATGTAGACACGTGTTATATAGGCGGACTTAATGCCTGGGGCAGTCTCTACCTTGATGTGATTCACAGATAGAAAATTTATAGAGAATACAAAAATAAAAAAATACAAATTTTGTAACACATATAACATATTAAGATATAAATGGTGTGTAATGTAAAAGATCGAGTGACAACGTTGTCCCGGTAGGCAAAGTGTTGTGCAACCTCCCACTAGATGGAGTGACGACCTCGTAAGACATGCAAGAAGTCGATGGATGTAGGTGGCTCAGGACCGTGCTTTGTGGTATACCTTGAAGAAGATTTTATGTCAATAAAGAATATTATTATTATTATGTGTGGGGTATCTATATAGTTTTCTCATCTGGTTGGGATGTATAATTTTTTTTTTTTTTTTTTATATTATATTATTATTCCTGATAACGACTCAAAATAATATACTCGTAGTTAGATAATATTCAATTATTTTCTCAATTCGTACGGGTATGATATTCCCCAGCATACAACAACAAATCCCTGTTGGTGAAAAAGGGCGCCAACCAGCGGAATTGCGGTGATGTTAAGCCGCCACGGGCCGAGGTGTGCGCCTTCAACACCACCCAGCTCGGACCCTGTTCGAAAGCGAACAACTACGGCTACCCAGCGAGGACACCCTGCCTCATCATCAAACTAAATAAGGTAACTTTATATTTCATTATTTTAACATTGGTAACTCTGTTGTCAGAGTTATTGTAAATTCCGAAGAACGCGAGCAATTCGCGTTTTGATCTACGCCGGTACCAATGAAACTTTTATACATAATATACGCAAATACAAATCTACTAAAGTAATAAAATACTACTTAATAAATATATAGATAGATATATAAAATTGTAACATTATTATCTCAATTGCTAATTTTATACTATATCCAGTTCAAAAAAATCATTTTGGTATTTTATTACACCATATTTCTAAAGAATAGATTAAATAAGTCATTAAATAAGTTGTCGCAACGCAAACTGATTGAACATGGTCAAAGTTACGAATCGGCGGTACATGCAAAAAATTTTGTAAGTTTATTTGTACTGTGGGATGTTATTTAATAACTGTATTTTATTAAAATAAATAAATAAATAAATTAGTACAAATTAAAATGTTTAATCATCAGAGCCGTGGTAGCTCAGATGGTTAACGCTCGCTGTAAATATAACAGAACGCGAGTAATCTGGGTTCGATCCCCGTCGGCACCAATGAAATTGTTACTTGCAATTTTAAGTGCTGATTTACCACGTGCTCGGCTGTGAAGGAAAACATCGTGAGAAAACCTGCATGTCTGGCTAATAAGAAAAAAAATATTTCGAAGACATGTGAAGTTCGCCAACACGCATTGGGGCAGCGCGGCGGACACGTCTTTGCCCTGAAACCCTCTCAGAAATGAGGGTAGGCCTGTGCCCAGCAGTGGGACGTATATGGGCTGTAACTTTACTTTACTTTTACTTAAAATGTTTAACAGAACTTTTTTGTCTAGGATTCCGCCTGTAGGTGTTGCTCTCTTCAGTCGCCAATTAGCAGTGTATGTATTGCTCTGTCCGATCTGAAGGGTATAGAGAGCCAGAATAATTACGGATTATGAGGTATTCTATCTTAGTCCTCAGAAGAAACAACGCATCTCTATCCTTCTTCTTTTAAAGTTGGTTACAGTTGTCTATGGGCATTTAGTCACTTTCCACCAAGTGGATTGTAAGTCATCGTGTCGTTTGTCTCTACATTAATATGAAAACGTATATAATATGTATAATACGCTTGACTTTTTCAGATATTTGACTGGAATCCAAATTTCTACGACGATCCCGACGAGCTGCCTCACGAGATGCCGCTTGAAATAAAAAACTATATCAACACCACGACCAAGCCACAGGAAGTGAGTTTACTAACCATTATCTTAACGATCCATCCACGACTCTTTCTACCACCAGTTTCAATGAGGTGAAATATTTAAAAGGTTTCATAGCGAGGGGAGTTAATTTGTTATAAAAGTAAACATTAACGTTTATTTCGGAAATATTAATTATATTTTATATAAATTAGATAAGAAATAGATAGATCAAACTACGGATACACCTGAAAGTAGAGGAATTAAATAGTTAAAAATGTGTAAAAAAATTAAAGAATACAACACTGGGACATTGTTATTTGTTTATGTATGTACTAGAAACCTAAACATTTATAATTAAATTTTAAATGATGATGACACTGTGACCGTCTGAGTAAAAAATAAGTTTAGGTGATATAATTATCTGCTTCATGGCTCTACCATGTAAAGACCAAATATAATAATTATAATAATAATGTCCACCAGATCGAATTTCGGTCACGGCAGCCAGTCTCAACGGAGACTAGCCATCGGCGCAGGACAGGATTATAGTGCCCAAGTGTATGCGCAAGTACAGGTGCACTCTCTTTTCCCTCACTCTCGTAATCCGATGGAACGGCAAACCGACACGACCGGAGAGAGATCATGCGCAGGACCAACGGCTGTACGTGCTTTCTGAGACACGTGGGTGAGGTACCGCCAACTTCCTGACTCCGCGCAGCTTGACGTTAAAACTGAATAATTGACTTTTTGGTCCGACCCGGGATTCGAACCCAGGACCTCATGATTAGCAGTCGCATAACTACAACCATTAGACCAACGAGGTAGTCAGCTAGTATAAGATAGATGTGAACTACCTGGATCTGCTACAAGTAGCAACGTTGGGAGGTGCGATACCTCTTGTACTACGATTGACAATCAGCTTAGAAGTGTGGTTATTATGGCAAACCCTAGAAAACAGGAGGCATCCAATGTCCAGCGGCGTCTACTGTTGTTTTTTAGGGAATAATAAAGAAGAAGAAAGAAGAATGAATAAAAGAACCTCAAAGTTTGTACGTGATAGAGTCATATTGCAGCAGCTTTATTATGGTTGTAGCACGAATGGATCAATAAGAAGGTGATGTATAGAAATTTTTTAATTGGTGTTGGGGTGGGATGTTGAGGGAGAGAGGCGGACCTTTATGAAGAGGGGAGGTGAGGGGGAGTATATAGGCTGTTTTATTATTTTTTACGAATGGATCGACTCGACCGGGGAAGAACCGTGCTCTCACAGAATACCCGCGTAATGCTGCTGTGTTTCGTATAGTGAGTGTAGAGAATCGTAGACCCTTTTTACTGGATACGAGGCATTTCATCTTAGTGCTCAGTGGTTAAAACACATCCCACAGTATTCTTTTACCATCAGGAGGACTGCATGCTCGTTTAGCAGCTTATTCTATAAAAAAGTTCTATACGTGGTAGAGCTACGCTGCAGCTGCCACGTGGTACTGTCATTCCTATCTTTGAAGCAACTTTGTGTTAATTGTGAAAAATATCTTCAACCTTTTCAGCGTCGCAAAGTTTGGGTGTCGTGTAAAGGCGAGCGGCCGGCGGATGTAGAGGCGCTTGGTCCGTTGAAGTACTGGCCATACCCCGGCTTGCCTGAAACCTACTTTCCTTATGACAACACACCTGGGTACCTCAGCCCACTGGTGGCAGTGCAGCTTCTTAAACCCACGCGTAAGTCCTGCATATAACAAGTTAAAAAACGACACGACGACCTTAAAAATGATAGTTTAATTAAAAATAGTTATGTATATTACGAAAATACTAGGAACAACTGGTTAAGCACAAGATATTAATACCCGTTACTCGACTTCCTTGGAGGCGAGTAACGAGTGGGTTTATATTTTATGTTTATAAAATTAAATTTTGAACAAAAACTAAGAGCCGGCTTCAAAGATTTTAGGGCCCTTTGAATTAATTAAGGAATAACATAAACGTCGTTTAAATGATTATATTAAAACTTCATCCCGTATTTTAGGGGTGGAATTTTTGCTCCAAATTTATATAGGAGAATGATGTATAATGTATTGCTGCGCGCCATAATTAATGCCTGGTACATGGCAATAGCGCCATCTAGTATCGAATAGTAGAACTAATCTTTGAAGAAAATTCCATACTACATCTTTCTACACCTAGTCGGTCGGGATCGGTATGTGCTCGAACATTTAAGATGTTTTAGTGGAAAAGGTCCTATAAGGCCATTAAGGACCGCGACCTTGTCAGTATTGTATTGGCGATACAAGCGAATGCTTTGAAGCGATTTAACTACGAACTAAAGTGATCATTGTGATTCATTTATTAGTATGTTTTTAGGTCTAATTGGTGTTCGGTAATTAAAGTGTCAATTTCGGTAATTCAATCGGCAGTTTTTATTGTAACAAACCCTAAGCTCGTAACAGTATTTAATAAAAAAAATCGGTTTACAATTGGTGAAAATACTGCGTAACGTAGGTATATGGAAACAATAAACATAGAGTCAAATTGAGTATCTCCTTCTTTTTAAAGTCGGCTAAAATATACAGGTTCAATCTAAAAGCTTTACGCTATAAGATTGATAAAACCACAGGAAATCGATTACTGATATGCTGATTCTAAATGTTTTATATTTGATTGTACAACATATATGTTAATTTTTTTAAAGTTTCACTAGGTTTCTTGCTGGTTTTTCCAAGGACAGAGGTTTTTTTAAAGAAAGTATAAGTGTAAATGCTTTACGTATTTTAAGTTATGTAAATATTTTCTGTCCTTCGATAAAAATTAGGAGTATACGTGATAGAGCTACGCTGTAGCTTTTGGGCTGCAACACAAATAGGTTGGCTCGACCTGGGAGACCGCAGAGAATAGAAGCTTAATGCTGTTGTGCTTCTTGTGGTGAAGGATGGCAACCGGATACCTTTTTAATTTGTGACGAGACATTCCGTCTTAGTCCTCAGGGGCGACAACACACACGCAATTTGATTCGTAATCAATAGCATATGAGAGTGTCTATAACCCACAGCATCCACTTACCATTAGGTGTAATGTGAAATCGTTTGTCATCTGTTATTCCTAAAAAATGTTTGGCAATATAGCAATAATTCTCCTTTATAATAGTTTTTTTTTAAATTTCAGTTCACCAGATCATCAACATCCGTTGTCGAGCATGGGCGAGAAACATCCAGTTTACGGAGAGCCTCAAGGAGCGCCTCGGCTCCACGCATCTGGAGATCATGATTGACTGAAACGCGGGACCATACGATATCTAGATATAAGTAATAGGGGTGAAGCTTCATGCTTAAAGTAATAGACGTGCACAAGTTATATTACGACTATTGTTTTAAAATATACTCTTTTATAGCATGTGACAAACTGATGTAATTTTTATATAATTTTTTAAAAAGAGGAGGTTTGCGAAAAAAAGGATGAATGGTTATTTTTTAAAATTTTTTTAGAAAGTTAACGTTAAACGTGTAAAAAATAAATTACAATAATATTATAGGAACTTAATAAACGTACGTTTGAAGTTCCAACCAACGAACTATATTACTACGTAGTAGTAATACCTCAATGGTTCCAACTCATTTTATGTGAAAAGGTAACTTCTTGAGTCATATCGATATTGTGCCTTGGTGTCGAGACCAAAATAGCTGTATAATTTAACAAGTCAAAGCTGTAAGTACTCTGTGGATTACGCTAGGCTGCATACAGGTGATAGATTTGCAATCATAAACGATATGAAATATGTATTAGTATTGTTATATTTCTGGCAGTCATAGTTATAAGACTATACATCTATATTTGTATAGTACAGTGTAATATGAGTACTATTTTAAATAACAAATAGCTTACTTAATTTATTTTCTTAAGAACTTTTTTTTTTTTTGTGGTTGTTTGATATAAAATTATTGCTTAATATATGTTCTTGTAGTTGTTCCGTTAGAAATGCTGTAAGATTATTTTCTATCTAGCGAGCCGCATATTCGCCTTATTATTTAAATTTAAGGTAATCCCAAAGACCATTTATTTTATCAACTTTGTGCATCGATATATATGTACTACGCACTAGACTTGGCATTCCGAACACTTACTATGTTCAACAGAACTGTACTGCAATCCGTACACCTGTTATTGTGGCTTCGATATTCATGCAGTGCGGAGTGGCGCTAATAATAATTGTATATTAAATTAGCACATAACCAAAATAAACGAAAATTACTGTACTCGATTAACAATACAATCAAAATAAACAATTATTTATTATGACAATTTTCGCGCGTTTATATCAACTGTACATGCGCGACTCTACTGTTTCCCGCGCATGTTCGGATACAGAGTAGTGCACATTTTTTAGTTTGGAATAGCTTCTCTAGTACGTAGTACATATAACTCAATGACTTTGTGCTTTTTAAAAAAAACCTCTTGACATTGCATTCTATACGATCGTAAAGGTTTATCACATTCGGTTCATCTAAGATTAGCTAGCTTCCGAAGATTAGCCCGCACCACAAATTAATAAATAGTTTACCAACATGCACAGACAAACAGACAGACACAAATTAAAAAAAAGATTGTTTATGCTTTAATAGCTCGTAAATAACTCCCTGAGCGTTATACAAGCCATTACCATAGATTAACAGTCTTTTGGGTTACAATAAATTTTAAAAGGCATAAAAATTAATTTTAAGATAATTTACTAGAGACATGGAAATATAGTTCCTAAGCGAACCCTAATCTAGTTCGCACATTAGTGGTGTTCATACCATAGAATACTATAATACACAATAGAATGTCTGTCAACCTTATTTTGTACCGAGGTTCGGCGTCGCCGGGAGCACACATATAAGCAATTACGTCGTATTATCAGTTAATCACTACTACAAACCCGATTCGTTGTGTTGACAGATGGATTTTAATACATATTTATTTGTAAATAGCGTGCAATTTGGCATTTTCTAAATAATTTGCGAAATTTGGAAACGAATGTCAACACGAGATGTGTTTTGACGTTACAAAACGTCAAAACACATCTCGTGTTGACATTTATACGTGTGAATTGACGTCTTGTGGCATTTTGTGGGCTCCGCCCACACCCCCGTTCTATTGTGTATGTATTATAGTATTCTATGGTTCATACAAACGTATAGTTGACTTATTTATTTATTTATTCTTAAGTATATGCTTAAGTATATGCTTGAGTGTTTTTATTAGAAAATAGCTGTGTCCACGACCTCGTTCGAATAGAATAATTTTTAGAATTATTTGTTATTATATTTCCGTATTTGAATCGGATTTTGTTCATTATTTTACTTTTTTTTAGCGCGGAACCCTAATTATTTTTCTAAAATAAAAGTAGCCTAAGTTATTCCATAGAACGCCGGATATCTATCAGTGAAAAAACCCGTCAAAATTGGTCTAGCCGTTAAATTAAAATGCTATTATAACATAACAGACACTTCAATTTTGTTTATTTGCATAGATAAAATGAGAAATATAAGTGGTACAGTACATAAATACGATAGCGCCAATTAAATATGATACGGATATACAGTACAGATAGAAAAGAAAAACTATATTATATCTTATCATTTACATAATATGAGGCATAGCGTAACACCTGCAATTTTCAAGTGGTTATGCGTCTAAAGAGCAGTAAGCTTCTCAAACCATGTTTAGCCCAAAAATTATGGGTTAATTTAGAAAATTATAAAAGAACTGATTGATGGGTGTGACACCGACTACATAATTACTAACTCAATATCCCATTAGTTGACACGCTTCGTTAGTCGTGGTCGTCCCTTTTACAACACTACGACTTTTGACGACTACAGTTTGCATATTCTCTTTTCTTAAACATGGGACCTTTAAATCCCAAACCAAAGATATATTAGAATATCATTATCTAAAAAAAGACTAGACAGTACTTAAAACCGCAAGAGTTTCTTTGTCTATTATAAATTATAAATTCTGTGTCAATTTATGTAAATTGTAATAAACTTACAACTATGTTTTATAGTGTTTTATTGTAGTTTATTTAAAATCACTCAGTGCTGAGTCAGCACAATAAATTTTTAATCCTCAAAACACTTACGGAAATATGGAGGTGCGAGAGTATTTATCAAACATATATATATATATATATATATATATATATATATATATATATACAAGAATTGCTCGTTTAAAGGTATAGGATTTCCAAATCTGAGCGGATTGAAAATTTTCAATTTCATCATATATATGTCTAGTCATAACATCACGACACATCTTAATACAGCGATATATAGTTTTTTATATGCGAACAAACTTTCATCAGTAGTGTGCTTCTTATAGCGCCTCTTAGCTTTATCTCTTTTGGACATTACTGATTTTATAGACTCGGAAAAAGCTAATGGCTGGAAAGTGTTTAACCATGCTTCACTTAAGTGACGCATGTGTATCAAAAAGTCGTCGTAAATTCCGTATAAGTCGTAAAATTACCAACCGGCAACGGGCAGCAGCATCAAAGGTGCGAGAAATCTGTGCCCTTAGGACAAGTTTTCAAGAGGTATGATGAATTCGGTTACCGCACTACATACATATTACCGTTACAAGCTATTAATGTCCACCGCTGAACACAGGCTTACCTATAGCTTGCCTCATAGTAGAGAATTGTTTTAAGAATTAAGAGTGTCAAACGAGCATACACTCCACCTGACGGTAAGTGAATGCTGTGGGCCCATAGACATCTACATTTAACCTCGATTAAGAATCAAAATGCAGATGCGCTGTCACCCCTGAGGACTATGAAGGAATGTCTCGATTCTAGTAAAACGGGTCTCCGGTTCTCTACACTTACCATCCGAAATACAGCAGTATTAAGGTGCTATTTTAAGCTGGTATTCTGTGAGAGCGTGGTCCTTTCCCAGTCGAGCCGATCCATTCATGCTACAACCATAGTATGGATGCAGGGTGACTTTACTGCGTATAAATATTGCGATATTTGTCATAGTTGCCACGCTTGGCAAGCGGGTTGGCAACCGCGGTTTTTTCATTTTTGGTCGTTATTAGGAAGACGAGCTGCTGCTCATCTCCTAATTTGTTTCCCTCTGTCGCCTCTTACGAGACCCACAAGATATGAGGTACTGTGGTAATCTGACAAACACATTAATGATTCATGATATATAGGTATAAATGGCTCCTCACAAATTCTTATCACAGTTTGTGTAAAGATATTGAGATAAAAATGAAAGAAAACAACATTTTTAAAACAAAGCTTTAATAAATTAATTACAATTTACTCTCGCAAGGCAAAACATTCACTACAAATTAATTCCAACATTCATTGGGTATTCCACAACTGTCTTTGGCCATAGATAATCTGTTGCTTTTGTCAGCAGTGATGTCTAAATTAAAAAGAAAATGAATACCAACAAGGACACTAATGGTTTCCAAACTCATGTTATAAATAATATTTTTAATGTTACCTACGTTAGTTTTCGGTTAGATTTTTTTTTGATTTTAATGAACTTAACGAAACTGTAACCCATACTTGTACAGTATGTATAATTAACTAGCAATAAATTTACAGGTCCTTTTGGAGGCAGTTACTTAGATCCATATTAGACTCGGTTCAAAATTACGTTGTATATGCTGAAATAAACCTTTTGGTTGATCCTTCTATAATTGTATACCGTAAAAACGATTCGTTTAGAGAAAAAGAGATGAAGAAAAACCTCAGTCTACTTATAATAAACAAAATTACAAAATAATCGAAACAAGCCACGATATACGAATCCAAACAAACGTTGCTTTTTGTGGGTTGAACCTATCTTTCGTAACAAGGCATTGAAGTTTGTTGTACTAATTACTTCAATGTAACAACGTTCCTTTTTTAATACAGATATCATTAAACGACAGAAAATTGCAAATCAAAAATGTGACAGTGACAGTTGTGTGATGTAACCCTTTCATTTCTGCGATTGGCGCGAATTTCTATTCGACCATAATTTCGATGTGTACAGAGCCCATGCCCTCGTGTCTGTCGTACATTATGTTGTGCGCCCACGCACGACACTCTATGTTGATCAACATACCAGCTGAAAAGAAAATTTTTTTTTAATCGTCTCAATTTAAAGGCACATATTAATTCTGAAGATGGGCGACCTTTATCTTTGTAAACAAACAATACAATAATGCAAACGTTTTGGCGGGATCTTAAAACAGGAGTAGCAGCCCACTAATGGTCACCGTTTGCATAGTGGTTTGAAGTGGGTTTTGATACATAAAGTGCACCACTTTAATTAAATTGTTTTTTTTTTCTGTATTAAATATCAACACATGTGATAGTCTAATAGTAGAGGGCAGCATGATACAAGTGCTCGGATGGTGATGTGACACTCAAGTTATTGTGTCTGTTTTAGTGCCTTGAGATTCCTACTATCGTCATCAACTATCTGCTGGCTCAGGCACCCGTTAAAGTCTTTCTAAAACTTCGCGATTTGACGAATCAATATATTTTTAATTTTTTGAAACAAAATATAGTATTATTGAATAATTTATTATTACTTGACACAAAGAAAAGTACAACAGTACGAGCCATTAACAAAAAAAAATATCCTTACTTTTTGGCCTTTGCAAATGAACAGCGACCAGAGGACTGAGGTAGCCTTCTTGGTTAGTATATGGAAAGTAATATCCAGGAAATCCCCTGTTGGGTAGATACTGGATGGGTCCGATGTTCTCCCGATCAGCTGGGTTCTCTCCTTGACAGGAAACCCACACCATATTCAGCTGTAATTGTGTATTAATGAAAATAAATAATTTAAAATAACCGTGTAGTGGCGTCGTAAGTGACTCATCACTAAATTCATCCCGGTGGTTTACTACATCCGCAAATTAAGTCGACTTTTAAGGGTTAACGAAGAAAAAGATAGAAATTATGGAAGTTTCTCATTTATTCCGAAATAAAAACCCTTGGAAAAGATCTTCGTATGCCGTGGTCGTATTCTTTGTGAGAATAAGTCAAACTCAAGAAGATTTCTTAAAGAATAGGGTGACAAACGAGCACACAGTCCACCTGATGGTAAGTGGAGCTATGGCACATAAACGCCTGCTCTATCAATTAAAATCTATTTTCAAAAAAAAAAAAACAAATAAGTTAGAAAAAAGAAAAAAGTTAAAATTCAACGCGATCGAATTCGTAAAATTAGTTTTATTCCATGTATAGTACTCGCGTAAATATAAGGAAAAATTAAACGAAAAATTAAATTAAACTTACATAATTTTTATCGTAGGCTGTCAAATTCCTAATGTGTTCCTTCAAATCGTCTGGCATGGCTTCAGGCAGGGCGTCTGAACTATTGTAGAAGACCGGCTTCCATCCGAAAATCTTGTTGAGTTTAAGGAAGACGCACGGCGTGGACTTGTGATAGGCAAAGTTGTTTTCCTCGACGCAAGGTCCCCAGGCGCTGATGTCCACGTCGCAGACCTTGCCCGCTGGCGCCGGTAGCTTGAAGTCACAGTTGTGAATGTTTTGGCCAGCACCCGCTTTCTTACCGTCGCGTTTGTAGACTGGAAAAATATGAAATTATTTGCTATTCATTCGTTTATAAAATTCCACTACTGGGCATAGGTTTCAGTGTATAAGAGGCATAACTGGCCTACTCTCAACAGAATCGAGCCTTGAATCGATCTAATTTTAATCGAATTCAAGGTAATTCTTAGTCCCTATACTGAAGTAAGCGCCCAATCGAATGGTAGTTAAAATTGGAGTTCTAAAAATCAATCTGCAGCTATTGACCGCTAATGATAATAAATATATAATAATCATAAAAAATATTAGCGAAATACCACTGACTGACTCATCACGATATCTCCAAAACTACACACCCGATTGACTAGAAATTAAGTATAGTCACTAATAATACCTAGGTTTCGCAATAATTATTTTAATTAATACGCAATAAATATTATTATTATTGTGTGCCCAGCGAAGCAAGCGGGTATCAGCTAGTCTATGATATTTTTATACAAGGTCATAAGTAGCACAAGTCTATAAGTAGATGCTGTGGTCTGGACACCTACATCTGCCTCGTTTGAGAATCAAAATTCAGATGTATTGTAATCTTTGTGGACTATAATGGAATGTCTCGTTACCTGTACATAGGTCGTTTCTCGTCTCTCACCAAAATATGTTAAACAATTTTATTCTGCAATTTAACTCTGATATTCTGCTCTAGTGGGCCTTCCCCGGCCGTACTTACTCATTCGTGCTGCAGCCATTAAAAGCTCAAGCATGGCTCTACCATCTCAAAATCCGATGGTAAAAGGCCACTGGCGTCCATGAATACCAGCGAGCTCTAAGCAAAGCAGACTGTAGATACTTTGTCAGCTACGTAACAGAATAATAAAGAATGATAGACGAAGCCCTACGTTAAAAAAAACTAAATAAGGGTGACAATCGAGCACACAGTCCACCTGATGGTAAGTGGATGTTGCAGTCCATAGACATCTACATTTAACCTCAATTAAAATACAAAATGCAGATGCATTGTCACCACAGAGGATTAAGATGGAATGCCTCGATTCCAGTAAAACGTGTCTCCGGTTCTCTACACTGACCATACGAAACACAGCTGCATTACGCTGTTATTTTACGCTGGTATTCTGTGAGAGCGTGGTCCTGGCCCGGTTGAGCCGACCCATTCGTGTCACAAGCATAATATAGCTGCTGCAGCGTGGCTCTACCACGTAGAAAACGTGCATTTTAAATATTTTTAACCAACTTCAAAAGGAGGAGGTAGTCAATTCGACCGTATTTTTATTTTTTATGTGCTAGGAACTTTTTTCTAGGTGGGCCGATTTAGAGGTTCCATTTTTCATTTGAAAGCTGGTGCTTTTTATGCAGTTCTATATTAATTGGATCAAGATCTGACCAGCAGTTTTTGAGTTATCCTTAATAATGCGTGTTTAATTCACTTCGACTACATTGATGATGTTCTCTTTTTATTTATATTGAAGTCAGTTGTACAAAATTTTTAATTTTACCACTTACTGTATGAACGCACACTCACACATTTTTTTATTATATACGAGCAGCTATGCAGGTCTAGGTAAAGAGACCAGTATCACTGCGACCTAAAAGATCTATTGTGATCGCTGCTATGGCTATAGTTCACGGCTAAGCCCTATGTCTTCAATTAATCGAAGGAGTTGTAGCCGTAGGCAATTTCACTTCTTCTGGGCGGAGTAGATAGTGTCCCAGATGAGTGTTACGTTTGTGCATTAAGGGTCCGCAATCGCTTAGGATGTGTTGAGGCGTTTCTTCCGTTATGGAACAGAACCGACACATCCTTGAGTTGCTTAGTCCCCGGATGGACATGTGCTTTTTAAGACAACAATGTCCAGTTAGGGCTCTTGCTAGAATGCGCAATTTATTTTTACTAAATCCCAGGGCTTCTGAAGCGAATTTACGATCAAAAGCCCGGATTAAGGTTTTAGAATGTTTTAAGCCTGGTGTGTCAGACCAGATCTTAAGTGACTTATTGTGATAAAGAGTTTCAAGGGTCAATTGGGCTAGGCTTTTTGAGACTCGGCTAGTAAATTGTGATGAGATCTCCCGTGCAAGTTTGTCGGCAAATTCGTTGCCTATAATACCCCACACCCGGAACACTCACACATACATTTGTCTCTAAAATAATATGCAACCCTTATCATATGGTTTCTTGAAGCATATCTCTAGTGAACTTTTGCGGGCTGTTAAAGAAAGAAAGAAGCGAGATATGTGCGTGTGTGCGTGGCTAGAAGTTGAGTATGGTTGCGGAGTCTATGGAAATATACGTGAGGTAATGCTCTATCTTTTTTTAATTGAAGTTACAAATAAATTTACTGTCCACCTGAGAGTACGTGGCTGGCTCACCTACAAACAAAGAAGACGAGCAATGTATTGTCACCTCCGAAGACTAAGATGGAACGCCTCGCAGCCTGTAATTATACTGACTATCTATACCTGTCCACCAGTATATGTCTGAGTTCCGGTCTGAAATAAGTAATAGGTCCAATAATACGTTTTTCTTCAATCTGAGTAACAAGTTAAATAGATATTTTTGCTCATTAGCACCGTTCATGTGTTCACTCAAAATTGTTCCGGAATAACTTCGATTACTTAGGTAGAATTTTTTTATAGAATATGGGTTACAAACGAGCACATAGTCCACCTGATGGTAAGTGGATGCTGTGGCCCATAGACATCTACATTTATCCTCCATTAAGAATCAAAACGCAGATGCGTTGTCATTCCTGGGGACTAAGATGGGATGCCTCGTTTCCAGTAAAAAAGGGTCTCCGGATCTCTACACCAACTATACTAATTATACGAAACACAGCAGTATTAAGCTGCTATTTTACGCTGGTATTCTGTGAGAGCGTGGTCCTTCCCCGGTCGACCCGACCTAATCATGCTACAACCATAATATAGTTGCAGCGTGGCTCTACCATGTATAATCAATTTTTAAATTAAAACCAGCAATAAAATCTCTTTACTTGCCTTTTAAAAAGTTGGACAGCTCATTCACCCAAAAATGATAGCTACCAGGATCATTTCCTTTATACCAGATCACACTGCTGGCAACTTCTGGAGGTGTTGGTCGGAAGCCGAGGCCAGGGTTGGTGCCTATTATACTCTCATCCAACTGCCACTGAGGCTGTCGATCGTCCAACAGCTGGAGGAAGGTCCACATGCATATCGCCACTAGGATTGCGAGCGCAGAGTAGAAGATGAAGTAGAATAAACATATTTTGGCTGCAACAATTTAAAATACTATATAATGGAAAAAAAATTAAATCTTTAGATTTTTTAAATTGGTTGAAATTTATATGGGACTACTGTAAAAGTACACTCTGCCTTTATCAGCTGTTAATAGTCAGGCTTTTTCGACCGAACGATTCAAGTTCTAAGAAAGTATAAGTTGAAGAACGATTAAATTATAAGTTGCAATTTTAAGTGTTGATTATCTACGTGTTTGGTGGTAAAAGAAACGTGAGAAATCACAGAAAAAGACAACATATGAAGTGTGCCAATGTGCATTGACACGGCGGCCTCTTTCTTGCCTAATTACCCTGTGAAGAATGATGAGAGCAGGGGGCGTGGCTACCGCCGCATCAGCCATATTAATGATACGGGGCCCCCGGGCTACAGGGGCCCTCCAACGTGTGTAAGCAAAAATTCGTAAAATGTTATCCACAATCTCACTTAAACACTTAGGCCGTACTTCCCTAGAAAAAAATCATATCATCAAATAATGCCCAACGTGCCTAAAGAAGACCTCTCAGAAATTGAATAATTTTCTGTAGTTTTTCGTTACATTTTGATAGCAAAAAATTATGATAATGTACCTAAAGAAATAATAATCTTTATTGATAAACGTATTACATACACAAAACTCACAGTGGTCATTAGCCCCTAAACTGGGATATTATACCTGTATTTCAGGGGCTAAATAAATAGTTGCCTGGAAATAATAGTTCCCTAGACGGGGTGGATAATAGGAATGATATATATTATTTTTCTTCCGATTTTCTCCCCTTTTTGTTCAGTCATTGATAGAAATATAAATATTGGTCCAAAGTACTTAGTAGACATTACCTATAAAAAATTACTGATTCATTCGCCGATGTCGATATATCGGCAAATTTCGAGTATCGCCGATATATTGGCATCGGTATCGGTATCGGATGCATCCCTAGATTTTAATAGGCTTTAATGACAATACGTAATATGTTTTTTGATTAAATATTGGCATAATCTGAATTAAATATTGTATATCTGCGAACTCTTTGCTTCACAGCTCTCTTCAGTATACAATATTGATAAACTATCCATTCCAGACGAACACTATGCAGATAAATCCCCCGCCTCTAACTTTATTACTAGTAGTTCAGTGACTAAAGTATTTAGGGTCTTAAAGAGACTTGACTCCACTAAAGGCGCTGGCTCAGACAAAATACCATCTATCTTTGCTGTAAGATGTGCTGGTACTCTAGCTTTACCTCTGTCATACATACATACATAAACACTCACGCCTGTCACCCAGAGGGGTAGGCAGAGACTACGGACTTCCATTTGGCACGATCCTGACATACCTCTTTCGCCTCCTTTACATCCATATATCTACGCATACATGCTCGTCGGTTAAGGGTACTTCTAACGTGGCCCCTTTTCAAAATATCGCCAATTTGGTCGATAAACTTTTTTCTAGGGCATCCCTTCCCGACTCGGCCGTTCACAACTGCCATATAAATTTGCTTTGTCACTCTTTCCTCATTCATTCTTTCTACATGACCAAACTACCTTAGTTAGTTTGTTCCAACAAACTTAGCATACAAGCATACTTACCTCTGTCCTTGATAATTAATAAATCTCTTTGTTCTGGAACCTTTCCCAGCGCTTGGAAAACTTCTCTTGTTATACCGATACACAAAAGAGGAGATATAAACTCACGGAAAAACTATAGGCCAACTGACATTGTTTTCATTCTTTTATTTATTCATAAACATTTTTTTCCTTATATAATAACATTTTAATTCTTTGAAATTGTAATTTTGGTATTCTATTTTCGTAAGCAAAACGTAATGTTTAAGAACTGTGTATTTGTAAATCTGATTTGTACTGTTTTTATTGTAATGTTCCCTTTAAGATAACTATTTATAAAGCAAAAAGCAATGTGAGTATGACGCTCAATATTCATGTAGTTTACACCTATAAAAGAGGTATCACTGAGCATTAAATTATTTATTGTCTACTCTTAGAAAGCTTGTAGTGTATATCTTGTTGGTGTGACAAATAAATAAATAAAATATTTTAAAATGAAGAATAACATTAATTAGTAACGTTTTTTGGAATTTTTGCAAAAAAAAAAACGCCCAGTTCTTGGCTAAAACATCTGTTGTAGCAAAGAAATTTAGAATACGATTGCAAATGTACAATTTATCCAGGATATTAAATTGCGTCTACTCCATAATGAAGTTAGTGTAGGTAATTGCCTGAACAAATTCAGAATTAACAAATAACCCTATTTAAAACGACGAAGTTCAATTTGATTTAATTTAATTTTAGTTTTGCAAAACGTAATGCATGGATTTTAATGTGAATGTCTCGATATGCCTTCTTACCGATACGATGCTGACACCGATGCTCTTATAAGAATATCGGCGATAACGACACCGATACCAATACTCTTATTGAATTCAAAAATGAAAGTAAAATAAATGAAACACAAGTCAGGGTATTTTTTTAATTAATATAATAATAACAAATAACTGGACAAACTAAATAAAACCATTTAAAACTATAGACAGTTCCTATTACAACGAAATATAGAAGACAACACGCGCGTTAACATTACATTTTTGAAACTCGAAATTTGAAAAGTATCTATGAATCGGCCATAAAAATGTCGCCGATGCCGATATATCGGCAAACTTCGAGTATCGCCGATATATCGGCATCGGTATCGGTATCGGATGCATCCCTAGATTTTAATAGGCTTTAAGGACAACACGTAATACGTTTTTTGATAAAATTTTTGGTTATTAAAAATTAATTAATAATTAAAGTGTATGTTTAAACTGTACTCGGGGTAAAAATTCGGAAGAACAAATAAAAGTTAACTCCGATTATTATCAACCCCATCTGGGGTGCATAGATGAACACGCGTTTGCGAGTATCCATTCTAGGGTGGTTATTTTAAGGGTTGATAAACGAAATAATAAGAGCCGTGGTAGCTCAGATGGTTAACGCTCGCTGTAAATGTAACAGAACGCGAGTAACCCGGGTTCGATCCCCGCCGGCACCAATGAAATTGTTAATTGCAATTTTAAGTGCTGATTTACCACGTACTCAGCGGTGAAGGAAAACATCGTGAGGAAACCTGCATTCTGGCTAATAAGAAAAAAAATATTTCGAAGACATGTGAAGTTCGCCAACATGCATTGGGGCAGCGTGGCGGACATTTCCTTGCCCTAAAACCCTCTCAGAAATGAGGGGAGGCCTGTGCCCAGCATTGGGACGTATATAGGTTGTAACTTTACTTTAACTTTAAACGGAATAACTCAAAAAATATTCTTTTTTTGGCAATAGTATAAAGTGCCTGTCAATGAGTAACGTGTTCTACTGCTACTTTTAATAATGAATTATATTAATAATGAAAACTTTCCACCAACTAAATTTAATTCCCCCAAAAAAGGCGAACGTGACGGATGTAAAAATAAAGTTACCATTACTACATACCAAAGAGCTACAGTTTTATAGTGCTTGTCTCCTTTTGTATTCACTATTTGAAATCATTAATCCTGTTTCTAAAACGTGAAAATAATGACTTACAAAAAACGCGAAAAGCGAAATAAGGAATCAAAATCCATTCCATGGTTAGCTGAGCGAATCTAGAGATAAGCAAAAGAGTGGGGTGTAAAAATGCTTTCAAAAGTAAAAGAAAGAACATAGCGAAGTGTTTTATTTATGAAGAATATCAGAAGGTGAAAGAATTTCATACCCGGAATCGTACTTCAATGTCAATGTGTTTATTGATGTTTGGAAATATTAATGTCTCAAACTAAACAAAGATTTCAGAGCGTCTGAAACCTCTAAGTAATGTATTCGAAGTTTGTAATACTCCGAATACACCAGAGAAATTCTTATCATTTTCAAACGAAATGTTCGAAGTATTACAACATGAGAAACTCTTATATTTCAAAGGAAATAATAAAAAAGTATGTCGGAAAATTGTCTGAGAAATGCAGTAAATACACGTCAGTTGATCTTTATGAACAATTAATTACTATAAAAATTTGTATATTGATTAAAATTATTATTAAAATTGTTATTGATAATTTTAGATAAAAATTATCTAAGTACCTCTATGAGACAGGTAAGGCTAGCAGAATTGCCACTATTATTATCTATAGAGGCAGATAATTTAGAAAACACTGAAATCGTCTTCAGTTATGAAGAGGGGGGGAAAAGTTAGAGAAAAATCTAAAGTTGCTCTGTTTGTATCTGGCTGGTTTAAATTCAATACATATAAGATATTAGGAAAAAGAAATTTAAAAAGTAAAGACAACTTTCCCGCCATTTTTCAATTGTTTTTCTGTTTGCCAAAATAAGTGAATCTAACGTAGAAATTCGATACATTCTGAAGTTTTATTGCAAAAAAAGAAAATATGCGACTCAAGCCGCGAAAAAATTTGTGACGTTTATGGACCTAATGCAGTGTCAGCAAGAGTAGCACAAGGATGGTTTAAGCGTTTTTAATCCAGGAATTTAGATGTCAAAAATGCAGTTCTGGTCACCTTCATACGAATAAAATCGATGCCATTCTTGAAAAAGTAGAGCAAGATCGGCACATTAGTAGTTCTTTATGACATAACCGAAGAATTGAAGATTGATGACAAAACAGTTTTGAGCTATTTGAAAAAGTCTGGCTATACAAAAAAGCTTGATATTTAGGTACCACACGAGTTCATTCAAAGAAACCTAAAGACACGTGTACTCATGTGCGAGTCTCCATTGTAACGTAATAAAACTGAACCATTTTTGCAAAGATAAATCACTGGTGATGAGACTGGATCACCTACGACAAGATCGTGCAAAAAAGATCATAGTCAAAGGGTAGTCAAGTTCACAGACTATAACGAAACCCGGATTAACAGGCAATAAGGTGATGTTATGTATGGTGGGATTAGAAGGGCATCGTTTATCTGGGGGCACGCCAGTGCCCCCGCAAAGTCGAGAATTAGTAGTTTAAT